ATTTGAAGCCACAATATCGAGGTGGCCGTCTTCGTCGAAGTCGCCCAGTGCAACGCCGTGCGCAAATGACCCCACAGGGAACGTGGCCTGCGCCTGGAAATTCCCTGATCCAGTTCCGAGCAAGACGCTCACCGTATCGTCGACCCCATTCGCAACCACAATATCGAGATGGCCATCTCCGTCAAAGTCACCCACCGCAACACCTTCCGGGCCCGGACCTCACGGGGATCATACTGTAGTTTGTGATTTCCAGAGTGGTGGGCAGCGTCTGTTACGTTTAACTGGAATGTGCGTCGTTGCAACTGTCTCCACATGGTCGACCTGACGTTGGAAAGTTCTCGGGTAAGAAACTTGTGGCCGGATGGAAAATCGCAACTCGTGCGCATCGAGGGTGGCTGTAGGGTTCAAACTCTCAAGGATTACCAACTGGAAATATTTGCTGCACGCTTCCCTCAAGTCGTTAATGGTGAAGGACATGTCATTTATAAGCTGGCCTTGGGCAGACTCTCACATGAAATTGCTATCATCAGGGGATTCGCAGATAATGGGTTTTATTGTTGCCCGTATCCAGAAACATGCCAAAGCACAGGCATCCATCTTCTGGTGCGTGCAATAATTTGACTGGTCACAATAACATTCCAGGTGTGGTTGAAGAGTCTATGTGCCTCCCATTTGTCGGAGAAAATGGTGGAACAAAGAGTCAAATTTCGGAGTAAGAGTAGGAGCAACAAAGTGCTAATAAACATGACATTAGATGCGACCAACAAAGAGGGAAAATCAGCTTCCGCCCACTGTTGGGGATATCCGCTGGCCGTCTGAGGAGGAGAGCGGAAAGCGGATGGGCCTGGGGCTCATTATAGCTGCATTGACCGAGCAACAAGAGGGGGAAAAACCAATACCAAAGAATAGGAATTTACTGCACGTATTTTTTACAGCGCAACTCCTGATCGAATATCACGCCTAGAAGTTTCGCGGTGCTAGACGGTTCGACCGTTTTCCCGTTCATGATGACCAGGCCCTGGTCTTCTTCGCGCTGTTTCCGGGTGAGAGATGAGTTCCGTTTTCTCCGCAGCGAAGAACATGCTTTTGATGGATTAAGCGAAACCCCCTTGGACAGACGATCAGGGAGGTCAGAAAAGCCCAATCGTTTACGTAGATTTCTTAAGTTGAACGTACTAAAGAGGATGAACAGGCTACCAAAGAAACAGGGTATTGCGAGTGGTAAATTGAGGAAGTTGTAGTTTAGGAAAGAGAGCTCAGCGATGTCTCATCTGAACCAGTCAGACCAGCACTGCAGACCGACTATATTGTCTGCAAAGGTGCACTTCTGACCTGGAGGGAGATATAAAAAGGGCTCCCTACAGGCAGTATTCTGGCCCCCAGCTTGCTCTCCATCTATACCACGTCCACATTATATCCAAACGCTGATAGTATGCGCCTTAACTTACCTCACATCCTTGGAATAGCCACATCAGCTTCTGCTCTGTGGTCAGTTACCTACTACACCGCAAGCGATTGTTCAGGGCCAGGAAAAGAGGTTGGAGGCTTCAAAGCTGGGTGCCAGACTCTAGAAGCCGGCACGGAATCGGTAATGGTCTCTACCGACAGCGGCAACAATATTACCTTGAGCACGGATATCAACTGCAACACTCCTTACGAGGATACCATTCCGAGCGAAGTAACCGACCGCTGTGTCAATACCGCTATCCGTTCCTTTCTATCCTTTTGATTGTAAGTGGTGTAGTACTTTCTTCACCACATACAAAATCTGCAGACTAACACTGCAAGGCTCATTACAGTAAAGCCACGAAATCACGTTGAAGGGGGTGGAAAGCTCTCGTCTGGGGACAAGATGAGCTTCTAGAATCTACTTGTCTCTTACTCTAGGTATATGACAGATCCTAGTTACATGTATCCAGACTCCGTTGTTTCTTTCATTCTAGATCGACGCAGCTATCTCCACCGAGAGGCCAAGTACAGTCGCGCTCGGAACCAGTTACATCATCTTGTTCTTTTCTTGTATTTACGCTGCACGGTCATGTCTGAGATCTTATTGAGGGGTTGGTTGCCCCATTGTGGGTCATAATAATCAGTGGGACTGTTTTCAACTACAAATTGTCTGTCTTTTTCCTTCCTTCTCGATGGTCCCCTCTTCTCAAAGCTTGCTGGGTCGGGCCATATCATCAGGTACAACCCTGCCACTCTCTCACGATGCACTTTGTCCTTCCTTATATGTTGGGCCTGGCGTGGCTGGCCAACGCTACCTACATTCCCTACTTGACCAACGCCAATACGACTAACTTTGCTACTCGTGATGTTAACGGATATCGTTCCGTGGCATACTTTGTGAACTGGGTATGAGTTTGAACCATATTTACTCCACCACTAAATCGAACTAACTTATCACCATCAGGGCATCTATGCTCGCAACTTCCAGCCTCAGGATATTCCTGCCGAGAAACTAACCCATATTCTCTACGCATTTGCCAATGCCCAAACCTCTGGTGAGGTGGTCCTGTCGGATACTTGGTCGGACACCGACAAGCACTACTCCACTGATTCATGGGCTGATACCGGGAATAATGTCTATGGATGTGTCAAGGAGCTTTTCCTATTCAAGAAGAAGAATCGAAACCTGAAGGTTCTTTTATCGATTGGAGGCTGGACATATTCTTCCAACCTCAGAACGGCCTTTGAAACCGAGGGGGGACGCCAGAAGTTTGCTGACAGTTCCGTCGAGCTGCTGAAGAACTTGGGCTTTGACGGTATCGATGTTGATTTTGAAGTGAGTTTGCTAAGTCGTTGACAGTGTTTGATGCTGATATCAGATAGTACCCTGCCAATTACAACGAAGCGGACCAATTTGTTGATACCCTACGCCGTCTTCGTGAGGTAATTCATGCCTTCTCTTATTGATGACTCTGCTAAGACTATATTTTTCAGGCCTTGGATTTGTACAGCTCTGCCAACGCAGATGGCTATCATTTCTTGCTCACCACTGCATCCCCTGCTGGTACGTGTCGTTTCTTTCAAAACCTATAGTTATGCCAACCCAAATTCTAGGCCCTGCCAACTACCAGAGAGAGCATCTTGCCCAGATGAATCAGTACCTTGACTTTTGGAACTTGATGGCCTACGATTATACCGGAAGCTGGGACAACGTTGCCGGCCATGATGCCAACCTCCACGCATCCAACAGCAACATAGCCAGCACTCCATTGAACACCGACCAAGCGATCAACTATTACACCTCGCAAGGAGTGGCCTCTTCCAAAATTGTCCTAGGTATGCCTCTGTACGGCCGAGCTTTCACCGACACCAACGGTCCTGGCCAGTCTTACAACGGTGATGGTAGCTAGGCAAATGGTGTGTGGGACTACAAGGCTTTGCCTCAGCCCGGCTGTGCGGTCACAAATCTGGACCAGGAAGCTGCTAGCTACTGCTACAATTCGGGCTCACGTTTGTTCATCAGTTATGATACCCCTGAGGTTGCGCGTAAGAAGGGTGAATACATCAAGTCCAAGGGTCTTGGTGGTGGTATGTGGTGGGAGCTCAGTGGTGACAAGCAAGGTGATGACAGTTTGATCACCATGGTATGTTTCATTCATATTCCACATTTGATCATACTAACTTCGAGCTTTGTAGGTGGTAAATACCCTTGGAGGTACCGGAGCTCTAGACAAGAGCGAGAACCAGCTGAGCTACCCTGCCTCTAAGTACGACAACCTGAAGTCTGGTTTCTGACCTTTTCAATCTTCGTGTGTATATTTTAGTCATAGGATATACTATTAACAACCCACATGAAGTGGTAATATGTGACTTTGGCATTGTGCGGATTACCTGTCGAATTACTAGAACTAGTCAAAAGGCTTCTCTCGCCCTAACTACAAAATTTCATTGGTGTATGAAACGCCAATATGGTAGGCGTTGTAGTTGGCTGGATGACATCTTGCTCAGCCGTTGGTAGCAGAGATGTCTAACAGCTCCTGACTGTCAAGTATGCAATTGGGACGAAAGCTGCGAGCAACGACACGGTTGGCATATTTTGTCCAATCAAGGATGTGCAAGCGTAAATCCCGTCCAAGCATCGCTTCACCCGCGCAATTCGGTGTTTCCCGGGCATTGAATGATAGCGGAGCCAAAGCTTCCTGGGGCACTTTAGCAAAATTCAACGCATGGAGTTGTGAGGAAATTACAGTTGCGAATATCCCGTCGTGCATGGGAGGATCTGGAGCGGCCCAATTCGCAACGCCAAAAAAGCATCGTCATCACGAATGTTACTGTAAAACTATACAAAATTGAGCGAGGGAGATCTGAGTAGCGTAGGTGTGCGCTATAAGTGCTTATTGGTCACTGTTTTTCGCACAGCCGTACTCGCTTTTATGTCGAGCGGTTGGAGATGCTCCGTTTGTCCAAGTGCGGCGGAAACATGAAAATGAATTTGGAACAGAGAACAAACACATGACTTGGGGTTATGTCCCGCCACCTGATAGCAAGTAATATGTATACGTTGCAGTAGAGGCTTAATTTGTGACTCCCTTAGGCTCGAGAGTAGCTGGCTAATACTCAAAAGGACACTCCATTTTCATTT